AGGTGACTCAAAAAAACCACCTAAGACTGAAACACTTTAAGAAATAAGAATCAATCTTTCAGAATTTATAAATGATGTATTATTATAAAGAATATCACTATAAGGAATATCACATATGAATTTTTGTTTTTTTGAGACAAGGACTCACTGTGTAGTTCATGTGGGCCTCAAATTTGCAACAATCCTCCTGCCTTGGCCTCCATGGTCCTGGACTTATAGACAGAACCCACCTCACCTAGCTACTAGGTATTTCAATTGCTTGAAAAAACCAAAGTATTCCCTGGTTGAAAAGAAATGTAATTTCCCCTATAGGAACAATTCCTAAATCTGTATTCATATGAATCAGCAAGGCCCTAACTTGGAGAGAATACTACATAACAGTATCTGACATACGTATATTAAATTAGAATTTCTCAGTAAGGACATAATCTTTTTAGAAGCTCTTTAAATATTATAAAGATTTTTTTTAAACTGCCAGACTATCAATTATCCTTCCACAAATAACTAAAATAAATTTGCTTAGGCTAATTTGTAGAATTCAAGCAATGTGCTTTTTTTTTTTTAGAGACAGGGTCATACTATGTCACCCAGGCTAGTTTGGAAATCATAGCCTTAAGTGATCCTCCTGCCTCAGTGTCCTGAGTCTCCTGCACTTATAAGCATGCACCATTGCACCCATCCTGGTTTCTTTCTTTCTTTTTTTGTTCCTTTATAAAGTTTTATTGTGAATAAAATAAAATATATCCTGTGATATCATAAAATATATAGTTAATGGTTATAAATAGCAAAACAAAACCACATATCTATTATCTCATATAGTTAAATATTTTTCACCCTATGGCAGCAGCCACTAAAATATCATTTAGCCCAAACCATGAACATAATGAACTATTAACTATGGTCCTCCTCCTGGTGCACATTAGTCTTTCTACCTGTTTATCTTTTTTTTCCCCATCTCTTCATCTTATGCATTCGCTACTTTGTATCCTTACTTCCTCCCTACCATCTCCTACACATCCCTATTTCCTCCTCCCCATCTGTGTTTTCTTTCTTATCCAACTAAAATGGTGCCAAGCAATAGTGACCTAGTTTTCAATGCAAATGAAAACACTGCATTTTCCTACAGAAGCTACACATATCTCGTAGACAATAAACACCAATAACTATCCCACATCACTCAATTCTGTATTCAATCTTGCAATACTCCACACTGCTTTACACTGGGCCAGAGCTATAGACAAGATTTTACAATTTACTGAAGTGTAAACTTTCTTTAATACTATAAAGGTTGGTAAAGCAACATGTCTCTTGTATTAAATTACAGTTTAAGTATCAATTAGGGCTTCAGGCTAATTTTGACATTAAGTGTAGATCTTAACACATTATAGTACATTTCTAAAACTTTTAACCATTTCTGAAACTAGTTCAGAAAATAATCACAATATGAGTACCTTACTTGCTCACAATTAAACACAATTTTCTTGTAGGAAATGCTTCCAAATTCTCCATATCAATACTAAGAGATTTAGTAGGCTGGCTCAGACACCGCCTAGACACACTGTTGATACGCAGATGTAAATACAGTGCAACAGTCACACGCCCGGAAATGACTGAGTAGTCTATTCATTTTATGATCTTCCCTAAACAAGTCACACACCTGTGCTCACTAAAGAAGTACAGTCAACACTATGAGGAAGAGACTTTGCAGAACTCTTCCGGAATAGACTCTTAGTTTGAATAACAAAGTACTTTAAGAAAAAGAGTTTTCATTCACCCCCACAGAATCAGGCTCCTGCATTTCAAGTATGAAATATTAATCCTAGAGAAATGTGCCACCTAATGAAATAAGAATTAACTACATGTCTCTACTGAGCACTCAGAATGTGGCTGGTGCAATCTGAGATAATCTGTTAGTGTAAACATTCACAGTACAGTTGGCATGGCATGGTGGCAGGCACTGGTAATCCCTGGTACAACCTGATAGCTAAGGAAGGAGGACTGCAAGTTCAAGCCCGGTTTGGGCAACTTGGCTAGACCCTGCCTGGAGTACTTTTTTAAAAAGAGCAGAGTATAGCTCAAGGAGAGAACAACCTTAGGTTAGACCCTTACGTAAAGCAAAAAAAAAAAAAAAATATATATATATAAAAACACACATATGCACTAGAATTTGCAGACTTAATATGGAATCATGGAAAATATTATTTCTGTATCTTTTCGTATGCTCTGAGGCATTGCCTTGCTGTGCAGTTCAGGTTGGGTTTAAACTTACTACTGTAGTCCAGGCAGGCCTCCAATTTCTGTCACTATGCCTGCCTACAATTCCTGAGTGCTGGGCTTACAAGTGTTGCCACACCATACCCACTTTGGAAAATATCTCATTTTTAATTGTAATCAGTAACGTGTTGAAACACAGAATTAAATAAAAGGTATGTACAGCTGGATGTGCTGTCTTACACCTGTAATTCTAGCACTGTGGGAGCCTGAGGCAGGAAGATCCTGAATTCTAGCCTAGACAACTTAGCGCCTTAGTGAGCCCCTGTCATAAAATTAAAAAAATAAAACTAAGAAAAAGGGCTAAGGATATAGCCCAATATGAACGCCCTGAGTTCAATTACCAGTGCCACATACAAACACACAAAAATCATTAACTTTTTATTTTGCTAATGGTACTACTAGAGATTTTTAGATTCCTTCTGTGGCTTGCACCATATTTCTGGTGAATGGTGCAGCTACAGACCTACATACAGTCTTGCTTCTTATAATAATCTAAAATTATCAGTTAGTCTTCTCAATTACAGTTGTCATTTAAAAGCTAAAAGAAAAAACAGTACTTTCCTTCCCTACCAATTTGAGATAAGTAGCCAGGTGTGGAGGACTCCCAGAAGTCCAGCACTCAGGAGGCCAAGGGAGGAGAATGACAGTGAGTTAAAGGACAGCCTGTCTCAAAGAACCAAATTTTATGTTAAGTTAATAATAAAAACTTTAAACAATCATAAAAAAGCCGGGTATGATGGCGCATTCCTATAATCCCGGCACTTGGGAGGCTGAGATAGGACAATCATGTGCAAGTTTGAGACCAGCTTGGGCTTCAAAGTGAACCCAAGACCAGCCTAAACTGCATGGTGAGACAAAATAATAAAATAATAATAATAATAATCTGCAGAACTTTGCTCTTTGAAATCATTTGAAAAACAACTTTGAAAAGACAAAAATAACACAAGATGCGAAACCATACCCCTTAAGAAAACGAGACGGAAAATACACTAACCAAATCTAGTAAGGTTTAGTCTAAATACTGATTATTACATTTTTAGCATGAGGGGGCTTTAAAAAAAAGTATTGGTTTCTGTCTCTATTATTCAAGGGTCTTTTACCACAGCAAGTGAACCATTAAAACCATAAAAAAGAAAAAAAGCATAACTGAATTATCTTTCCCAAAATCGAAGTAAGATACTAAAAAGAAAAATTAAAAGAATTACTTCAAATTCTCTGGGACTTAGTAGGTGAACTTTGGTTCCAAGACATTATAAAATAAGAAAATATGTTTTAAAGTAAGTATTTTTCCAGTAATGTTATTTATAAGATATATTTTATGTATTTTTGTGAGTATGTGTGGTGCCTGGGATCAAAGCAGGGTAGGTAAACAATCCTTTTATGCCACTGAACTACAGAACTAGCTCCAAAAACTATTTTAAAAGTGAGAAATTCAATGATATATTTTGGAGTGGGTTATGTTCTTTTGCTATCATAAAAAAATCATTTGGCTTTATTTGATTTAAAAATATTTAGGCCAACAGGGTTGGGGGAGAGCAATCCAGTCTATTTCTAAATCTATGAAAAAAATTTTTAGAGAGAAAAAGCTTTCTCAGGTGTTGAAAGAATGCAAGTTACTTCCAGGAATTTTTCAGTAAACAAACTGGGTAGAAGAAAAACATGAAGAAATTAAGATCAATGAATAAGTCTCCAGGGTGTCCGTCGCAGTTGACTGACTTATTTTCCACTGTGCCCTAGTAATCCAAGGGTCATGTTTAGCTATCAATTCTTTATCCATCTGAATTTCATCAGCTGGAGATCATCGTTAGACTGCTTATTAGGTAATACATTCCTGAGAAACCTTTTCCTTGTGCATTTAAACTCCAAGCTTAATTATGTTCCCAGGAGAGTAAGCAGAAAGGATTGTACATATTTTTTAAACTGAGGAGGCGATTGGCTACACTTTTCTGCTTTGGTAGAAAGAATAATGTGTAAAGCTCTTTTGATTATGATCCTCAAAACCCTGAAATCGCTCTCAAAGCATCGGGTCTTCTAACACTGCCCAACAGACTGCCAAAATTTCCATTACAGCATCCTATTTTTAGGAATTGGTCTTTTAAATTGCATTCTGCAGCACAATGTGTTTAAGTAAGTTTACAGGGACAGTAAAATAAGCACCCCTAAGATTTTAATCCTTTTATGCCTAGAAAGGAATTTTAAGCTTTTGAATCTTAATTTTTTCGAAAAAAATCTTCAATTGAAGTCTTTCAAACACGCAAATGAAGGTAAATATTGGCCCAGAGGGAGGTTCAGGAAGGACGTTTCAGTGGTTCCTGACAACCCAAGTGGAGGTAGTGGCGGTACGGCAACTGGTCTGGGAGAGGGGACCCCCCAGGGTGGGGAGACCGGGCTGCCGGCACCAGGGCAGCAAAGACCAGAGGCGAACTGAAGCTGCAGGCGCCCCGGGGAGCCGGCGAGGAACGACTCCTAGCGCTCTTCCCCTAGAGAGACAGAAATTGGCGCGACACGCAGGACTAGGAGACCCGTGCAGCCAGGCGACAGGAGAGGAAAACAGGCGACCGGAGGGGTAGGCGGAGGTGAGGGTGCCCGGCTACACCTCGCCGAGGGGGCAGGAGCGGCGCTGCGGGAGGAGGGCAGCGCAGGGGGAGGAGCGAGGGGCTTCCCTGAGGCTTCCCAGCCCGGCCGCGAGCAGCCGGGTCCCGGCCGCCGGCTCTTCCGCTCCTCACCTGGGAATCCGAGGCAAAAGCAGTGCTACCGTCGAGCGCCGAGTCCGTTCCTAGCTGCACTCGCTGACATGGCGGCCGACAAGCTGTCACGGAGCTTGCTCGGGTCTCCCGCGGCTCGGGCGGATTAGACACCTCTCTCCTTTCCGCCCCGCCTCCCTCTGAACACCCCTCCCTGCTGGCGGACTGACCGCCCGACACCGCGTAGCATAGAGCGCAAGGGGCTAGAGAGGACGCGCCGAGGGCGGACAACCATAGAGTACAAGTCCGGACACTACCGCATAGCCGGTCTCTTTCCTTGTCAGTCCACTCATAATCCTTTGGCGGCTGAGCCTGAACGGAAGCGGAAGTGATGGAGAAAGCAAGGGGGAGGAGTCGTTCTTGTGCCCAGTTGTAATGTTTACTTCCGCCCCGCCTACTGGGTTGGCGGGGTGTAGCACGTGGGCTTTGGTGCCTGGGGTTCACTGAAGTAGTACCCCGGGTCATCTTTGGGAGAGACCTTGGAGACAAGGATGTGGGGCCCAGCAACGGTGCTTCCGTCGCGGTTGACACTGTCAGTTTTGCCGGGTGCTGGTCGCTTTTGCTTTTGGAGGTTTGGAGCAGCGATGCGGAAAGACTTGGCAGTTCCTCGTCGTGGCTTGAGTAGCTCCTGTCCGCAGCCGCTGCGGCACAGGGAACTCAAGCAGTTGTCCCATCAGCGCTATAACCGCTTGTATGTTGGGAAGTCCATAAGCAGCCCGAAACTGGCTGCGACCGTGGCAGAAATCCTGCAATTGGAAGAAAAAGCACGTCACGAGGTAATCATGGAGTGCAGTCCAGGTAAATCCGTCTGGCTTGAGATTTCTTGGATGTTCATAACTACTACTACTATTACTGCTCTGTATGTGTGAAATAGGGCTTCACTGTGCAATTCACGCTGGACTTGAACTCACTTTGTAGCTCTGGCTGGCCTCGAGCTCTATAAAGATCCTTCTGCCTTAGCCTCCGGGATGCTGGGATTACAGGAGTGCACCACCACGCCCAGGATAGTCAACACTTCTGCACATATTGTGGTTCGCCCGTGGGGTACTGTTTAACGTCCTGCCCTTTCGTTTAAGCAGTTTAGTTCGAGAGATTGTTGAAAACATAAATGGATGGTCTGTATTCATAATGTGTGTAGTCATTTGCAGTTTACACAGCATTTTGATAAAATAGTATTTTTATCTTTTACCAAAGATTGGAAACAGGGAGGCCTGGGTACTAGCTTTCTTTTTTTTTTTTTAATACGTAGAGACAATCTTTTAATAACTTGCTTTAGCAAATCGTGGAGCTCAGGATCTTCCTGCCTCAGCCTCCCAGAGTGCTGTGTTTACAGTAGCCTCCTAAGTAGCAGAGATTTCACGTTTGCAACTACCACACCAGCCTATTTTACCCTCTTATGCATTTCCTCTGCACCACAACATGATGCTGATTTATAGTCTTTGATATTTTTAAAGCACTGTTTCCTATCCCAAGGTATCGGTTCTTTTGAGGTATCATAATATTTTTTGGATGGTTAAAGCAACTGAGTAGGTCTTGAATAGTGGTAGGCTAGAGACAATTTTTTTCTGTGTTTTTTTTTTTTTCTTATGAATAGTTAACTGTGATTAAGAGTACCAGTTCTGCTGTACTCAAAAACCCCAGCACTCAGGAGGCTGAGACAGGTTTGCTAAGAGTTCGAACCCAGTTTGGGCTACATAGTGAGTTCAAGGCCAGCCCTGAACTACACAGCAGGAACCTATCTAAAACCTGGTGACAGCCTGGATTCAAAACTCAGCTTTACTACTTTTTGGGATGTCTCCTAATTCCCTCTTCCTTTGTAGGTGAAAAGAGTGGTATCTATTTTGGGGATGTTATGAGAATCAAAATTATGTAATTCTTGTGTGACAACAACAAAACATTATTAAAGCGATTGTGTTGTATCTTTTGCACATAACTTTCTGTTGTGTTACTATACTAGGTCGTGGAATCCTGACTAAGGCATTACTAGAAACTGGTGCCTCAGTGATTGCGCTTGAAAGTCAGAAAAACTTTATTCCACATTTGAAGGTACAGTTTAATTCTGGAAACAATTTACTGTTCAATCGCTACCATTGAGTAGCTTAGGGAAGTTGAGAATTAAGCTCATTTTTTTATGGACCCAATTTTAGGGGCCATGTCTTACATATCTTGTTATCTTTAGTGACTAGAGCATATTAAGTATAGTGGTTACTGAGTAAAAATTTGTAAGTTCTGAAACTTGTTTTGTAGTTCTCACTCCTTGGGGTTGAGAACATAATACCCCAAAATGTGTCATGGCTTGCTGAGTACTTTGAAATAGTGGACAATGGGAGCCCTTCAAAGCAGCTTCAGAGCCAATGTCTCTTTGACCACCTTCCTTCTGATCTCTTACACTTTGTTCTATACCCAGTGCATTGAATATAGAAGCCAATTGCCTATTCCCCAAGGAGAGTCATAGATGCTAGAAATCCTTTTCCCTAAAGCCAACTATAAAAGCCTAACTGTATGTCATAACCTTTCCCCGAGCTAGGCACTGCCTTGTAGATTGTGACAACATCAATCCAGCAGAGTACTGCATACACCCAGGAAGGAAGGAATGCTCCAGAGAGAGGCCAGGAATCTCAACAGGCAGACCTTGCTGAGTTTCCCCCTTTAACCTATGACATTAAATCACACCTTTTCTAAAAATCACGTCTCCGTATAGCTGTCCATTATTCACTAATGGACAGTTTCCTCTGAATCTTTGATGCATAATTTTTTTGTCTGTTTGTTTTGAGGTAGGTTTCACTATGCAATTCAGGCTGGACTTAAATTCACTTTGTAGCCTAGGGTGGCCTCAAACTTGCAGGAATCTTCCTGCCTTAGTCTCCCATATGCTGGTATTACAGGCACATACCACCACACCCAGCTCTTAAGTCTAAAGATACTATGTACATAAAACTTTTCTTAAATAAATTTATTGTATTTTTTTTCTTGCTAATTTATGGAAGTGTAGATTGTGTCCCTACATTTGTGGGAAAGAAAGGTATCATGTTTTCCCACTTCCCTACTCTGCCATAGATTAGTTTAATAATGAAATAGAGTGGGTAATTGGTATTACTCAGCTTATCTCCTCTTTAGAAGGTTGTACTGTGCCTCTGCCTTTTGTGAATATAGCCTTTAAATTTTTAAAAGATGAAAGTTCAAGCTCAAGGCCTGGGATTTAATCCCCAGTGCTGTAAAAAGGAAAGAATTACTATTGTTCTGTAGCCTACTGCTTTGAAACTCTAAGATTTTATAGCCAGGTATTTAATAATGTTAACATCGGCTGAAATTTAAAAAGAATGAAGAAGAGAAAAGACAGGAAAAGAGAAAACGCATCAAATTATTCAGGCCTAGATGTCAGTGGTAGAGCACTTGCCTGGCTTGTGTGAGACTCAGCCACATTTCCCAGCACCACAGCCTATATTTGAAGGTTAATCTCAGTGTTCACAAAGTAATATAAAAGATGGCATTAAAATGTTTCTATTTAACACTCTAGTTCTTCTACAAGATCTTTTAAGATAACAAGCTTAAAGTGGTACTTACCATGGCACATGGCTGTAATCTCAGCTGTCTGGGAGGCCAAAGCTAGAAGATTCCAAGCTTCAGCCAAGCATGGTCAATTTAGGGACACTTATCTCAAAATTTAAAAATGAAAAAAGGCTCAGTCAGAAGTCCTTAGGCTCAGTCCCCCACTTTAAAGAAAAAAAAAAAGGCTTAGTAAGACCTAAAAATTTGGTTGCTGTAGTAAAAAAGAGCATAGGGTCTAGAACATTTTTGGCACAGTAATTCTTATAGCAATATCAGTAGCAAAATATTGCTGAATGTAAACAGCATGCACTGAATCCAGTCTTTGATTAGAATTTCAGACTTTTCTACTCATCCGCAGCTCCCACCCTTGCTAGTAATGGAGCCCAGGGTCTCGCCTGCTACCACATTCTCTTGATATGCAGCACACATACGTTCACTTTCACTTACCAGCTTCGTGATAAAGTAAAAAGCCATCCACATAGTTTGCGTGAATTTAGATAAGTATTTGCCAGAATAGAAGTAATGAGTTAATAGAACCTTTGAAACCTAAAATCTAGGAACTGAAGTGGCATTCTTAGGAGACAATGTTTCTACCAATCTAAAGGTGCTTACATTTACTCCTAACACCTGAAGGGATTTTAGAGGATTCTGAATATTTATGTAACTTTAATTTCCCTTCTGTTTCACATTTCCTTCATAACAGTGTTACAGGAAAGAATTTTGTTTTTTTATTTAAGTGTGTTAGACATAGTACACATGTTGAAAATTGTGTTCCATAATAATAAATAACAATATAGCCATTTGAATTGTGAAAAAGTATCCTTATAGATAGCTGCTTATGTTCAGTTAAAGAGACTTCAGCTTTTATGATAAATGCCATCTTGTTTCAGCAGGCGTAGAATGCATGCTTTTCAAGTCAGCCACAATCTCAGCCCTCACCCTTCTAGCTTTAGGATTGGTTGTAATTTAACCTTTCTGAGTCTATATATCTCACAGGAGACATTAATATCTACCTGTACAAGATCTCAATGAGGTTTTTGTTTTGTTTTTAAGGAGTCTCACAGTATAGTTTGGGCCAGCATTGAACTCATTGTATAGCTCAGGCTGGCCTTGAACTTGTAACAGTCCTCCTGCATCAGCCTCCCAGAGCTGAGATTCGAAGCATGCACACCTATGCCTGGTTTTGATGAGATTTAAATAAGAAACTTACACAAGCTGCCAGACTTAATGACTATAAGAGAAACTCAAGGTTCAATTGCTTTGTTCTCCTTTTTGCTTTCCATTTTTTAATCTTACATGCAATCTAAGGTATGGTGTGACAATTGTCATATGAATTATATTAATTATTTTGAAGCTTTAGGTGTCTTCATATTTGAATTGTTAAATGATAAATGACGAATTCTAAAGCAATAATGTATGCTATCCTCTCAATACAAATGTAAGAACCCTGAAGTGTACTTCCCCCCTTTTTTTAACATTTCCAGCAAGCCACAATTCATTAACTTTTCTTAATATTACAAAGATTAAAGCATATCTTATTGGTACCTATAAATTATTTTATTACTAAATGCATTGAGTAATTTTTTTTAGAGTTTAAAGACACATGAGCACTCTTTTCCTTTAGCTTCTGCAACAGCACACTCTTTTCTTAGCTTCCTTTTGTTATATTGTGGAGATTCACCATCCTTCAGCCTATTCTTCTGTATTTCCCACCAGGTTTTAATTTACTTCAAGAACTCAGATTTTCACAAAGTGGTACTTTCAGCTTCAACCACTTCACTGCATTAGTTTTTCATGTTTGCAGTTCCTAGTTGGCATAATCTTGATTTGTTGAGTTTGAGCTTGTGATCCTCCTGTCTTACTCTCCCATGGTGCTGGGATTGCAGACTTGTACCATTGTGCCTGGCTTCATCTGCCTTTTGCTTTAATATTTTAACTACTTTTCTACTATGAAACATCTTTCATTTTATTTTTGCCGTGACCCAGCAGATGCCATACAGTTCTCTGCCTGAGGCCAGCTGTGTTCTTAGAATCTTGGCCCAGTCCTGCAGGTGTTGACTAAGCAGTGAGAGATTAGTATGAAGAAGCTTTTGAAACACACCAAAGCCAGTAGGATAAAGAAAGGATAGGAGGGCTGGGGATATAGTTTAGTGCCACAGCGCCTGCCTGGCAAGTGTGAGGTCATGAGTTTGATTCCTGTACCAAAAAAAAAAAAAGGAAAGAAAGTAAGAAATTGTGAAGGTTTTTTCTTGTTTGATGAAACCCAGAGTCTTATGCATGCTAGACAAGTGTTCCAACACTGAGCTGCCCCCCTCTCCCTAGCCCCAGCCCTGCTGAAGGTTATATTTGTTCTAGAGGTTTTGTTTTGTTCTGTTTTTGAGATAGGGTCTCACTAAGTAACCCAGGCTGGCATTGAACTCACAGTAATACTCCTGCCTCAGCCTCCTGAGTGCTGAGATTATAGGCATGCTCCACCATGCCCGGCTTCTGAGGGACTTTTTCTTGGTAATATTTTGCATTTTATTTTCTCTGCCAAAGGTTTATATATGTAACTAATATTTTCCTTAGACCTTTATAAAGTTGATCTTGGAGTTGTTGCAAAGTCTGCATAACACTGAAATTTCTTAACATATTGTCTCTTTATCTCTTTAGTCCTTAGATGAAAAGCGGAATGGAAAACTCAAAGTGGTCCACTGTGACTTTTTTAAAATGGATCCCAGCAATTGTAATACGGTGAAACCACCCATCATGCTTTCTCAAGAGCTTTTCCCGACTTTGGGAATAAAAGCAAACTCCTGGCTGGAAGGTGATTTTTGTCATTCATTAAGCAAATGCCTTGCAGTTTCCAGCTGTCTTTAGCAGGGCACCTGTGTTGCTCAGGAGGTCCACACACAGCTCTTGTCACCAGGTTCCCCAGCAGCCGCTCTCATGTTGATGATAATGGTGTGCCCTTCCCTTGACCCAGCATTTTGTTGCATGAAAGGTCAAGTTCACAGAAAGCTACTGTTAATTGATTTAAACTTAAAATGATTAACTAATTTGCCTCAATAAACTGTCATAGGAAAAACTATTAAGACATTTTCTTTTTGCATGTTTCCCTCACAGATACTCCTTTTAAAATAGTTGGAATGTTCCCTATAAATAATGAGATAAAGGCACTCTGGAAACTGTTACATGATCTGTACACTTGTTCTTCCATATTTAGCTATGGCCGAGTAGAAGTATATATGTTTATTAGTGAAAACCAGTTTGAGGTAAGTTATTAACAAGGAGCTGTTTTTTGTTTTGAAAGAGTTCTATAATTTTTGAGTATTCATAATCTGTGTAATTTTAATTTAGGGATTTACAGGTTCGGGCTAGCCTTGAACTCACCCAGGCTGACCTCAAACTCATGGCAGTTCTCCTGCCTCAGTGTCCCCTTTGCTGAGATTGCAGTTGTATGCTACCACAATAGGTCTATTACGTTTAAATTTTGTATTATTATTTGTTTAATCCTGGTCCTTTGGGGCCTTACTACAGAAGCTTGGTCCAGAATAAAATGCCCTTTTGTAAATTTTACTTAACAGATTACTGTTTGTTCTGTGTAATGAGAAAACCTCCTAAAGTCCTTGCTATTGCTTTGGGAGTAATGTTTCTTTTCTGTCTAGAATGCTTCACGTTACCAGACTGTTCAGCCTATGTAATCAAAGTGTTTATTTGTACATAACAGAGGTATGGGTTGGGATAGTGGGGCAAAAATGAAGGGATGACGTACTCATCCAGATTGGAAATAAATATTGACTAGTCCACAGAAGGAAAGTAGCTCAGATCCTTGAGGCTTTTGTACAGTAAATAAAAGAAGGAGAGGAAGACCAATAGGAAGGGCTTCATCACATTTTATCCGGCGCTAGGAAAGTGTTCAGATAGCTCAGATTCTTTTACTGTGTACTTTTATTATCGATTTATGAGAGACAGAATCTCACTCTGGTTCAGTGTAGTCTTGAACTCACTGTGTAGCCCAGACTGACGTGGAGCTCAAATCAGTCCTGCTTCAGCCTCCCAAGTGCTGGGATTACAGTAGGCATGTGCCACTACGCCCAGAAACTGTGGACTTTTTCATATGTGATTTCCCTTTCATTCACTGAGGTAACTTCTTAGCCTTCAACTGTCAGCCTTAATAACTCTTGACTCAAAATTTAAGAGTCCATCCAATCCCTAGTGTTTTTATTTCAGCTTTTCTTTTTTTATCTGATAGGTTATTATTAAATGCAATCATGCCCAGATACATTGAATTTTCAGGGTACTTGATGGTATGTCTCCAAAATGAAAGGGAAAAGACTGAATCTAGTTAAGATTTTACATGTAATTCTAATTTTTAACTTAAATCTCCAAGTGCTATTAAAATTTAACATTTGATTTTGATTGATGATAGTTTTACATATATAATACTGTTTTATTTTCCTTGACTAGAAACTAATCGCAGGTCCCACAAAGCCAGAGTTGTATCATGTATTAAGTGTGCTTTGGCAGTTATCTTGTGAGATGAAGCTGCTGCTTCAAAAGGTGAGTGAAATCCTACATTTCAAGAGAAAATTGTATTATATTTCAGAGAAGCTAGTAAGTGGAGATTATACACTAAAGATTAATTTATAAGATGATTTTTCCAACTGTTCAATATAATAAGGCAAGTTAACTGTGGCTTTAAGTATTTTTATGATAAATACTTGTTTTTGTCATTGTAAAAATAAGATATCTCATTGAAAATAGGCAACTGGTAGGGGCAGTGCATTTCAGGCTGGTTTTAAATTTGTAGTGATCCTACCTCAGCTTCTCAGGTTCTATCTAGTATTACAGTTTGTACCACCACACCTGACTAGGAAACTTTATTTTTGGAGACAGTGTCTCACAATGTCCAGCTGTTCTTGAAGTCACTCTGTACCCTAGGCTGGCCTCAAACTCAGTGATCCTCCTACTTTGGCCTCCCAAGAATTACAGGTGTGCGCCATCATACCTGCTTTAGGAAACATTTTTAATAAAGAAACTGAAATAGGAGTGTTACAAACTCAAACTCAGCCTGGGCAACTTGGTGAGATCCTGTCTCAAATTAAAAGAGATGGTGACAGCTCATTACGGAAGCCCTGAGCTCCTTCCTCAGTACGTCCTCCCCTTAACAAAAAGGAAGAAAGTTTTAAAATGTCATCAGTACAGTTCCATAGCCCAAATATATACATATATATAACATATTTAGTGCTCTTTTTCTTTGTGTACTGAAGAGTATATTGTTTTTGTAGCTTATTGTTTTCACTTAATAGCTAATATAAGCGTTTTCTCTTCTCACTGAAGACTTTTTTTGAAAGTATGGGGTTGTTTGTTTTGGAGCTAGGGATTGAACCTGGTCACCAGGCTTCCCACCCTGGCCTGAAAATTGTGATTCTCCTGCCTCAGCCTCCCAGAGTGCTGAAACTACTGGCATGTGTCACTACACCTGGTTTTGTGTCATAGCCCTTTTTGATTTCCTTAGAGAAGACCAAGCATTGTCTAATAGAAATATATTGTGAATCACATACATAATTGTACATTTTAAACAAAAGAAATTCATGTTTAATTCAATCCCATGTCAATTGTTGAGGCTAGCTTAGGCAACATATAAGTTGAAGACAAGCCTGGAATGCATGATGGGATCCCAGATCTCAGTCAGTCAGTCAGTAGGTTGTTGTTTCAGTGTATAATCAGTATTTTTAAATTAATTGTTATATAATTTACATTTTTGTGTTCATGTCAAATCTTTGAAATCCAGTATATTTTATGCAATAGCAACATCTCAATTCTAGGGCTGGGGCTTTAGCTCAATGGTATAAATGCGTGCCTGGCAAGTGCAAGGTGCTGAGTTCGATTCCTAGCACCAAAAAAAAAAAAAAAAATCAGTTCTATACAGATTTTCCATATTGCATGGCCATATCTAGATGCAGGAACCATCTGTTACAGCAGGATTCTAAAGCATAAAAAAATAAATATTATGTCATTCATATCCTAATTACCCCATTCTATGTTAACCAAAGTATGTATCAAATATTGGTTTTTGGTTATTGCAATACTGGAGATTGAGCTATATTCCCAGCCTTTAAAAAAATTTTTTTAGAGACCCCCACTAAATGTTGTACAGGCTGGGCTCAAACTTGTTGTATGAATGTGTTCTTCCTCAGCTGCCTAAAATACTGGGATTACAGGTGTGGAGTTACAGGTGTGTACCACCACATCTAGATTTCAAATTGTTTGTGGGGCTTTTTTTTGTTTTTAGCTTCGCAGTGCAGGTTGGCCTTGAACTCGTGGCAGTTCTCCTGCCTTGGCCTTCCGAGTAGGAGCATGCCCAGCTGTACCTGGCTAAGCGTATTTTTTAGGTCAGTATAATGTGAGTGCTTTGACGAGAGAGAATTAAAAGAAATGCTTTGTGTTTTTTTTTGCTTTCTAGGTACCGCTTTCACTATTTGAAATGTACACCAGGGATGGACTACTAGTTCAAAAGGTAAAAATAAATTAATACCTTCCCTTTTTTCTCCTTTCATGGAACATTCATTTTCTTTAAGATTATCTGGTATTCAGCTGGGTGTGGTGGCACAGCCTGTAATCCCAGCACTTTCGAGTCTGAGTAGGAGTCTTGCTTTGAGTTCAAGGCCAGCATGGGCTACAAAGTGAATTCAAAACTAGCCTGAAACTACATAGCAAGACCTTGCCTCTATATAAGTGGCTTCCTTTTAAACTGTATTGTAGGCATATACTAAAGCATGGAAATGAAGCTTATCTCTAAACTGCTCTTCTGAGATTTGAATTTGATGCTCATCTAACTTGATAAACTAAAAACAAAACTTTATACTTTTTTTTTTTCCTTTTTGGTACCAGGGATCAAATTCATAACCTCATACTTGCCAGGCCGGCACTTATGCTGCTAAGCTAAATCCTCAGCCAAAATTTTATACTCTTCATAAAATTTGTGATAAAAAAATAAAATTTGTGATGTTAATAATTTCTTTCATCATCGAAATCACCAATAGGTACATATTGGTTCTCATGTAGGAATTAGGGACTTTCATTTTTATTTGATTTTTGTCTGTCTAAAGAATGAATGTGATGCTATTACAAAGAGGTCCACTATTTAGAGATAAACTACTTGTGAAATTCGAATATATTAGCTGAAGTTTCAAAACAATTTGTGGACTCAATCCAGAAGTACTACTTGATACTGATAACTTAATGCTAACTTTATCCTCATATACCAGCTCAATCTGAAGATTTCATTAGCTTTGCCACTAAAAGAAAAAGAAAATTAACAGTTTAGAAGTGATCTGATTTAAAATGATCAATTATCATGACAATTAGTTCTTTTTTATTACTTCTAAAACATAATGTGTACAGTCTCAAAAAATTTAGTCAGAATAGTACACTTTAGCTTGTATACCATGGGGGATTTATCCAAAAAGTAAACAAACATAACACACCTTCTTGTTTTTAATAATACCAAAAGCTGACTAGCTTGGTTGCTTGGTTTATTTTTGGCCAATGTTAGCTTTTAGGGATAAAGATGAAATAACCAAATGTTATATTTCATGGAAGAATTTTATTTAGACATTTCATGTGTATCTTTGGCATCAGGATCTTTGACTGCTACAGAAGCAGCTTGAGATACCCAGGAAATGTTATAGAATGCATGTTTGGGCTTGAGGATTTGACTCAGCAGCATAAGCGCCTGCCTGGCAAGCACGAAGTCATGAATTTGATCGCCGGTACCAAAAAAAAGTTTTTCTAATTAAAAAAAAAAAAAAATATATATATATATATATATATTTATTCATTCTACTGAAGTGAGGTGCTCCATTTTTTTGGTTTTTGTTTTCTTTTTTGAGACCTACAAGTCCTCTAGGCAGCATCATCCCAGGGCCTCAGGAAGCTGAGGAAGGATAGCCTGTGTCTGAGTGTTTGAAGCCACACAGTCATCCTGTCTTAAAGATAAGACAAAACTTGTAAGCCAGTAATATTTTCTTAGCCTTAGATCTGATGGTAGTGATGTACCTTGAAAGTTGCAGGGACTCAGAACGTGTTAATTTATGTTTGGGGTTTGATTGTGCTCTGTTGTTCCTTGGGTGCTGGCCAAAGACTTCTAGGTCAGACAGTGGGCATTATTTGTACCACCAGCCCACAGAGTGATACGAGTGGCTCAGGCACATGCTGTCCGCGCAGGGGTTTGCATTGCAGCTGAGGAACACAGCTGAAGGAATCAAAACCAGTGAGCAAGTGCACTCTTGGTCTTGCAGAGTCATTATCTCATCCCTTGAGGTTGCTCTCCACAAAGAACTTTCAGAGATGGCCCAGATAAAGCAGAGTTAGTGCTTATGATCCTAATACATCCAACAAGAAAATGCACTTGGGTACTGTGGTGGTTGCATCTTTGAAACTTCGTAGCCAGGAATAAATAAATAGTATTTTGCTTTGGTACTATTTGATGACTAACAGTATTTTCCCTTTTTTCCAGACTCCAGTAAAACCTCAAAACCAATGTTTCATTCAAATGATTCCTCGTAAAGATTTATTTACAGAATATTTAACTCCTATTAACTATGATATATTTTTTCACATGATGAAACAATGTTTTGGGAGGCGCAGTGCCTTGCTAATTCAACATTTACAGTGAGTAAAGAATAAAAGCAAATACAAAAGCAGCAATATTGTTTTTAAAAGTAGCAATATAATGTGCCAATATTTTATGTTAAACATCTACTTTTCTTATTTTGACTATGATACATATATGTTTCACTTACATATTAATATTTCTTCTTCTTATTGTACATTTTGAGAAAAGGATATTTTCTACATGCTCTTTCCCTGAACTTCAGTTTCCTTTGAAAAAACAACCAGGGAGTCCCACAAGTGTACTTATCTTTATCTGAGTTTAAGCTATAGGAACAACTATCGGCTTGTCACTAGCCAGTTTAGGGAAGTCACAATTACTGTGACTATTTGCCATCCACCGCTTGTTACTGTCTGTTTTCAGTGGTTCTGTTTCCTGACTAAGGAAGGTCTGGATCATCATACAACCCTGATTTTCTTTCCCTGGATACATTTTTTATGTTTCCTTCTAAACCTATAAAAACTGTGGCTTTGCCAAGCATAGTGGTACAGACGTGTAATCCTAGCACTTGAGACTGAGGCAGGAGGATTGGCACAAGTTCAAGACCAGCCTGAACTATATATATATATATATAGCAAGACCCTATCTCAAAAACAAAACTTGTAGGTATTATTAGCTATGTTACATAATTTTTTGTAGAAGTGATACATAAAGTTAGGCACAATCAACAGCCTGTAGTTACTCAGAGTAAAGACTTAATTTAATCATCACTTAATATATAACTGAGTGAAATGTTGACAATATTTTTATAAAGATCAATGTAAAAATTGTTGATAAACCAATAAAAATAATCTCTTTTCATTTTGCCACTTTGTGGTGGTGGCCATTTTGAATATAGATGTCAAGAAAGTAAAGAGTAAGTATCGTAAACCATGGTACAGAGTGTTAAAAATTCCCTTGGAAATCTCTAATGTGACCAAGCTTCTATTCTATATCTAAAAGTATTGGAAATACTTTCTCACAAACTGTTGCATACAGGTGCTTGCTTATTGTCAGAGAAACAGGGTTTTTTGCTTATATATAAAATGTCTTCTGTTTCCTAATTTAATCACCAGTGATTGCAACAAAAATGTGAAAAATGATTTCCTCCTTACAAACTCCCACACAGGCTAGGTGCTATGACACACACCTGTAATCCCAGCTACGTAGAAGGTAGAGGAAAGAAAATGCAATTTGGAGGCCAGAATAAGCAATTTAGCAAGCCCCTACCTCAGATAAACTAGAGGGCTGGAGATGTGGCTTAGGATAGTAGACAGGCTAGCATACATAAGACCTGGGTTCAGTGCTCAATACTAGAAAAAAAGACTGCCAACTGGCCAGCTTCTTTTGGCACTTACTGAACTCATACATGAACTTTGGTGGAATTATATGACTATTTTTGTAGGGCTAAGTGTGGTTCAGCAGTAGAGCATGTGCTTAGCATTCATGAAGTCTTAGTTTCAATATCACCCCACACACACACACAAATTACAGGGAGCAAAATGAAGGAAAAAGTTGGCAGGCATGGGGTTTTTTGGTAACCCTGAGGAACAAAACTATTCCTTTTTGTATTAGGCAAGCGCTTTACCTGTGAGGCTGAGGCAAGAGGACTGTCATGTGTAAGAACTGATTCAAATCTCTTTAAGCCTAAATCTGTTGCTTTCATTAAAAGTTAGCTGTAGACCTTTAAGAATAAAAATCAACATACTTATTATGGTTTAACTCTGAAATAAGCTCAATCACATATGTTAGTCATTTTAAATTGGGTTTAGAAGCTATCCTTTTCAATATTGATTCATTGCTACAGAAAAGAATTAAGCACATTTACTTTATTTCTTTTGCAGTTCCTTGACTCCATGTGATCCATTGACTATAATGAATAAAGCAAAAATTAAAGCTAGTGTGAAGCCATCTGATATCTACCCTCAGGACTTTAAACGCCTTTTCAAAGCTATAGAATGTTCCAGTGATGATGACAGTAAATGGCTGTATGATAGAGTCACAGAGGAAGTACGATGTTAGGGCAAAAGACCATTAAGACATTGACTGCAGTTTATTTGGAAAACACGACACAGATGAAAAAACTGCATTGCAGAGCAGACGTCTCTTCAACAGAAGATAGCGGGGCTGGGGATTTAGCTCAGCCTCATAAGCGCCTGCCTTGCAAGCGCACCGTTGTGAGTTCGATCCCTGTACCGATTAAAAAAAGAACCCCAGAAGATAGCTGTTCCTGTTCAGCAGACTAGGAAACTCATTGCTACAGTTGATGCCATTGACATGTTGGCTACAACGACAGCTGTTTTATTCACAAGTGAATAAAAGAAGACTTCAGTTAATTATGGATTGATCAGATTGAATTTGTTTTGTTGTAAATTCCCACCTACCATAGTGGTGGAGGTATTGCTCAGTTGTAAAATGTGTGCTTAGTGTGCACAAGGCTGTGAAAGCACAAGGCACTAAAAAAATTCTTAATGCTATCTACTGTAAACATAATGGCCATCTTAATTACCGATTGAAATGTATGTGCTTTTAAAAATTCTTCTGGCCAAACAGCTTACATTGTGTTTAATTTATTCCTCTTTTGGGGCCAGGTGTGGTGGCACCTACAATCCCAGCACTCAGGAGGCTGAGGCAGGAGGATCATTGCAAGTTTGAAAGTAGCCTAGTCTACCAAGTGAGCCCAAGGCCATCCTGAACTGCATAGTGAGACCCTGTCTCAAAAAGACAAAAAAAATTCCTCTTTCACCCTTCCTAAATTTTGCATTCTTGGGGTACAGAAGAGTTGGTATGATATTAAATTTACAAAGTAAATGTATTTAAGTAGTTTATTTTCTGTTTTCTGACATGTATTAGCTACTGTGCAATGAAATTATTTAAATTTTAATAACTTCAGAAATTAAAATATTTTAGGTAATATTTGGTGATGCTTTTCTTTTGTCTCTTGATATCTAAATGAAATGTTTAATTGACCCCAGCGTACCTTTAGTTGTGTGTTGTATACTTAATGTATGTTTGGTGTATAATTCAGTCTATATACTTTATAAGTATACTGCATATTTGTTCCATCAAGGAAGCTTAGCTAAAGTGGTTCAGTGCAGCAGCACATGTACGCCCGACAATCACAACACCTGGAAGAAAATAGTCCTAATTCCATTTAGGTTTTGCTAAGATCTTAATTTGGGGGCCAGGGGTACTGGGGTCCGGGGTTGAGACGGCTCTGTGTAGTTCAGGCTAGTCTTGAATGTACTGTGTATCCCAGTCTCACCTTCAGTTTTGCAGCAATCCTCCCTCAGTTTCCAGAGTCCTGGGATTACAGGGGTACACTACCACACCCAGTTTATTTTCCTAGTCTTTCTAAAGTCTGTCTTCTCGGCTTCTTCCCCAACCTTGTGCTTAATGCCTGGACTTCTCCTTATTGTAGTCAGGACTTGCAAGGAAAACAACTAATACAAGACATAATTTATAGACTTAAGATAGTCACTCAAAGAGTCAAACACAAAAGTGCAGGAAATTTGTCCACATGCTAAAGATCCCAAAGAATCCAACTAAGGGCCTGGATTCCATAGCAGCATCCTGCATGAGACCAGCTCAAGACCTGGAGCCCATGACAGTGTCTCATGCAAGTCTTTGACGGATCTGTGCATGGAGCACCACCTGTAGTCCCTGCTACACCAGGCAATTTAGTGAGACTGTTCCAAACTTGGAAGTGCTCACCACCAAGTTACTGGTTTATCAGCATGGAGTCATCTGAACAAGATGGTAAACAGATAATTCAGAGGAATTAACTGATAGTTTTGGGAAACGGATCAAAAGATCAGAGGAGCTTTCGCTGTTAGCTTAGGGTTAACAGGTTAATCTAACAGGGTCATCTTAGAGTTAGGTCAGGGGTGGTGAGTCCACAGCGTGTGTGCTGCAGTGTGCTATTTGCTATCACTAAAAGCATGAGTGCATTTTGTGGGATGGGGTGAAGGGAGACTGTAGAGACCCAATCATTTACAAAGAGACCACCTTTATCTTCAATTCAATGAAGATGCAAACACAAAGGATCAAGCCTAGATGTCTTTCCAACCCAAAAAAGAAGCGCCTCTTAAGTGCTACACCATTTCCAGTCAACACAAGCATGGGTCCTTTTAACCAGCCAGCAGTGTGTGTGTATGTATTCCCTGCACCACATATGCCCAGTGGACAAGTGAAGGCCAGATAGGTGCTCATCAATGAAGTGGGCTTTCCAGCGCTAGTAACATACTCATCCCCGGAACACCTGTCTTCCATTATTGTAAAATCTGTATTGGTTGCCTGGGCAAGCAACTCTCAGTTGAAATAAGGAGAGTAGTTCACCAGATATATTCCTCAGTTCCCCCACAACAAATGACTCCTGGGAATTTGACCACACCTTTCTACAAAACACAAGGATCAAAGTCAGCTTCAGGAAGCAGCCCTGGCACCTCTCCATCTGATACCTAAGTCTCAGTGCCCAAGTTTCTGATGGCTTGATATTTTTTGTCATCCTATGAGGGCACATGGTAAGCTTAGGTAACAAGAATCAAGTGAATTGTTCCTAAGAGCAATTGTGTTTGGTGAGGTGGCCACTCATAGACTGAAGTCTCAGAATTAACATAAGTGAAGCTAAACAAGGGGTAAATATTTGTATTAATATGTTCACAATGAGGTCATGCTTGCATGACTGTAGGGCGGCTTGTACCGCTGATGGAACTGTTCAGTGTTTCCCATTACAGTCCTGCATGTACCACCGCTGATTCAAACTGCTACTTGGAGCAGCCATATGTGTTCCACCAGTGACTCAAGTCAGTGGAAATGTGTTAAACTATTTTGGGATAGAATTCTAATACTTGTCATTAAAAGTCCTGGTAGGAATACTAGAAGTATTTCAGTAACACTTATCAACAATATCCCATTCTTGCATTACTCCAGGACTATTTGATATAGCTTGTAAAATCAGCATACTCCTGAATTGATGACTAGTTGATGGTCTCTAAGCTACAAGCTATGGAGTTTAATAGAGAAGGAAGAGATTTATCATGTACACTGAGTAGATTTTTGCACTATTTAAATGCTTGAAAAATAAATTTAGTTTCCTGATGAGATATGTAAAAGACTTTTTAAAATAACCCAGTAATTCTTGGCTAAATATTTACTAAGTTTATCACTAAAACTGCTGAGTTAATTCCATATTAAACACATACAGCTACTATTATGTTATCTCATAAAATTCAATATTAAAGAGAAAATAAAATTTCAAAACAAGGTAATAGGAAAATAACTGGTTAATACATTGTGTTTTGTTATCTTCAAAGTAGTTATTTATATTATATGATATGATGTGAAAAAATTGTCTAAACAATATTAGCACAAACCTTTCTTTTCAGTTAACTAAAAGAAATTAGTAATATCTTTTTTTCCTTTTCCCTTTCTTCTTTTCTCCTGTCCCCATTCCAGTTACTTTCCTTGCACAGTTTTTCTTCCCATTTTAAAATGTATCTCTTGCTAATAAAACTTTAGTGGGTTTTGTTTTGTTTTGTTTGTACCAGAGACTGAACTCACAACCTTGCATTTGCCAGTCAGGAGCTTGTGCTGCTGAGCTAAATATAAAACTTATAATTAGGGAAAAAGCCTTACAATTAGGGCTTATAGGGAATCGAATTTTATGGGTAGTTTTTTGTTCGTTTTTTCTTTGAAACAAGGTCTTACTATGTAGCTCAAACTGGCTTTGAACTCACTAGGTAGCCCAGGCTGGCGCCAAATGCCCAATAATCCTCCTGCCTCAGCCTCTCAAGTGCCAGGATCACAGGTACATACCACCATGTCCATCTCTATTTTTTTTTTTTCATGTGCTCTTTAACTGCAAAGATGTCTTAGTTACTTAGTTACTTCTTGTTCCTGAGATAAACTACATGACACCTGAAGTTAAAGGAGAAAAGATATATTTGCCTTATAGTTTGCAGAGGTTTCAACTGGCTGGTTCAAGGCAGGGTGGCATGGGAGATAGGCACTGCAGAGGAGAAACAGTCAGAGGGCAGAAGGTAGCAAAGTAAGCAAGTGACAAATGATCAGCCTCTTTCATCCCTTATATTTTATCCAAGCTGGCCTCCCTTGGAGGGAGGTACCACTCACATCCTTGATCCTGGTGCTCCATTGTGAGTCAATTCCAGCATCACACACTCTAGATCCAGCCACCTCTGAAAAGCCCCATCTATGTCCGCAGGAGGCTTTAGGAGATGTCTAGTCACAGCCAGAACAGAGGTGTGCTGTCGATGTGCTGAGCTCAACTCGTGCTTAACATGTGCATGGCCTCAAGTTCCACCGCCAGCGTCACACACACAAGGCAAAACTGTGAAAAGATGAAAACAGTAGGGCAGGAAAACACTGATTTGTGTGTATTTTTAAAATTCATTTTAGGGCTGGGGATATAGATTAGTGGCAAAGTGCCTACCTGGCAAGCTCAAGGTTGTGAGTTTGATTCTTGCCTGGTACCAAAATAAAAAAATAAAATTCATTTTAGATTGCTTTGAGAAGCAAATGGATAAGTGTTTGTCATTGGGATATCAAATATTTTCTCAGACTTGTAGAAAGAGTGTCAGTTTCAGGATTAACTTATTATACATGTAGTGATGTAGTATATGCCCAATATAATATGAACCCATTCTAACATTTTTAGTTCACCTTAAAATAAATGACTTTTTTTTTCTTTTTTACTGTTTTCCTACAAGAGAGACATTCCATAAAAATTGTTGAACACAGGACCAGGAGCCCAGGGGTTCTGAGCTTCCTTTCTATTGTATATCCCAGCACAATGTGATCGTACACAATTTTCAAAAATGTTGAAAGCACACAAAATATGGTGGTGCCCACCTGTAATTCCAGCACTTGGGAGGCTGAGACAGGAAGATTGCTGCAAATTCCAGACCAGTCTGGGCTACATAGTGAGTTCAAGGCCAATCTGAACTACATAATCAGACTGTCTCAAAACAAATTTTGAAAGCCAAGCTTGGTGGTGTGTGCCTGTAATCTCAGCTAGTTAGTAGGCTGGGCTGGAAGGTCACTTGAGCCCTGCAGGTCCGGGCTAGCTTTGGCAACATAGTATGACCCTCTTGAAAAAAAAAGTTGAATCAACAATTTTTGTGGTTTCTATCACTTTTATCATTAAGAAAATCGGGAATCTGGTGTTCATGATTCATTGTTAAGAATTCTGGAAAGCAGAGCATGTCAATTTTATAATTAAATAATCTCTCATCCATGACTCAGGCTTTGGGTTCATGAGTGCTTAAAAAAGAAACTCATATTTGCCTGCATATACATAATCTCTGAAATCTGTAACAGGGGCCCTGAGTTGAATTCCCAGCACTATAAAAAAGAAAACCTGACAACAGTGCTGAGGAGAATCAGATCATTTTCTGACTGTGATGAAAGAGATTTACTTTTCATTATACACCTTTCTTGCCTTTGAAGTACAGATCAATGTGTCTACCCTTTGTGAGGTTGTCAGAGACTGGCTACACTGCAGGTCCTCAGGTTCTTCTCCCAGGTGCCACTCACGGGGAATCAGCCCATCCCTCAGGGCTCTCCCCACCCAGGCGCTTCTGGTAGGGTCCTTGTCCTGCTACCAGTTGTTTTTTTTTTTTTTAAGAGGAAAAAGAGAAAAACACAAAACAAAACAAAGCGGTGTAAGGGTACACGTAATACAGAACTACAAAAAAAAACCATAACAGTAAGAAATCACCTGTTAATAGATTACATATTATCATCTTGAAAATAGTTGCTCAAATCACAGTATCAAAGAATACAAGGTGGACATTCAAACAGGGAGACTGCAAACAGCTGTGTTCAATGATCCAAAAACATTGATATAGTCAGCTATTTAACACCCCTAAACACACTTGCTGTTATATCCGTTAGAGCTCTTTTTATTTTTTTTCCCTCTCTTTTTTACAACAAAATTTACACATTTTGAATTTTATTACTCCTTAGTGCTTATTACTTTTTTGGGGGGGAGAGAATACAGTCAAATATGGCAAAACAAAGCTGTCAGTCAAATCTAAGGATAGACATAGCACATGGTGTAGAACAGAGTACAAGGTTATCAACAATGGTTATCAACGTTGTCTCTTGTTTCCTTAAAAAGAATTGTCTATCTCATTAGATATTATAAAGTAGGACAAAACAGTAGAGAACAAGACCAATAAAACTTAGGCATTGTAAACATTACAGGACTTCCAAAGAAGACAATAGTCAAACCAGAATGGGCATCTTAGTGAATCTTATTGCCTTCAAAGTAGTTGCCTATATCCTCAAACTTGATACTATCATACAGAATGGAACAGAGTCTAATCAGTCAAAACAAGATCGTGGGAGTATTACAGGACCTGCTACCAGTTTGTTCCCTGACTCAAAAGTCAGTGAGGATGAATGAAAGAGACACGATGTCAACTTGACATGCAGGCAGCCAGGGGCTACTGCTTGTAGCTGGTGTCCCTTTTATTCACCCAGACTTGGGTACAAGCAATTAAAGCAACACAGGGCTTATCCGCATTCCACTATCCAAGTAGTACATGCTTAGGTAAACAACTTAAACTCAGTTGTATAAATTTCTTTCATGTTCACAGAGGAGGCCAGTTAAGTCTCAATTTACCTCTAGCCTCCATATAAAGTTGTTTGGTTTATGTAAGCCTTATAAATTCTAAAGAAATACCCTTAAGAACTATATTCATTCGCATAATTATAAAGCATTTACTATAAGCCAGGCACTGTGCTAAATTGTGGATCCAGCAATATATCACTGACACAAGTGTGTAGCTACTGTAGAAGAGATAAAAAAGTGAAATAATAATTATGACAGCCAGAAGCAATTGCAATTAGTTATGTGTTAGATAAGAAAGAATGTTTTGCTAAAGAATGGCAACTAGAACTTAGTATATAGATGGGTTGGGAAACTTGTCTTCAAGTAGGGTCATTTAAGCTAAAAACTGAACTATACAAAGGAGCTAACCGTGAGATGAAGTGTGCACTTGTGTGCACACTCACTTGCAGGTGGCAAACCCTGAGGTAGGAGAGTGTAGTACTCTGCAGGAACTAAAAATAGGCTAGCATGCTTGGCTATTGTAAGAAGGGAAGGAGGATATGGCATTATAAGCTGCACAAAAGGCAATCTCTGAAGGATATCAAACAACTGGAAGGTTGAGGATATAAAAAAAGTTTGACTTATTTAAGCCAAGATGGATGTTATTAAAAAGTTGGATTTGAAGTGCTGAACACAGGATGCCCATGGGGGTTGGAGAAGCCGGTGTGAGTCATGGAGTAACCGTGACTTAATTCAAGCTTTGGCTCTGGCCCAGAGTGGGGATTCTGAGGCTATATCTAGTAATCAGAACTCCTTTCAGTCTTTGCAACTCGACAATGAGGGGGTTGATTTGCAGAGCCTCTAACACAGATCAAAATAGGATGACTTAAACTAGCAGTCAGGCCCACTGTGGAGGTGCACATCTGTAATTCAAGCTACTCCAGAGGCTGATGCAAAAAGATTGTGAGTTTTGGCTAGTCTAGACTGCAAAGTGAGACCCTGCCTCAAAATAAAAAGAGTTGGGGTGTAGCTCAGTGGTTTCCTCTCTAGTACTGAAAAGAAAAGAAAACAAGCAGACTTTCTGATGTAATAGGCCACCCAGAAGAACAATCCAGGAATATAGGGCTCTTCTTTTTCCTTCCACCATTTCCCATGACACCTTTTTTCTTCATGGTAGACAATGTCTCACCATCAGTTCTACATCCTTGGTCTTTTCAGTAGGAAATGAAATAGAGAACGGCCCATGGGAAAGACTGAAAGAATGGGGCAGTCCTCTAAGACTGAGGGCATTGAGTTTTAGGGCTGAGTGAAGGGGGAGTAAGACATATATTAGGGGAACTGAGTCATGTCTGGAATCACATTGTGGAATTAGCAACACTACAGATCTGTAGTCTTCTGACATATTTTTCTGAGAACTCTTTTTTCACGATCTTCAGAAATTGAGAATGTTTTTCTTATTATGCTCCAAATGGAAGAAAAAAAAAAAAGAGAGAATGTTTTACGGTAGAATTAGTCCCTGATTCTCCAGAACTCCTAATGACATGCTATTTAGTTCAATAAACTATCCTTTGACTCCTTGTAGGTATCATGCTTAATACTAAACAGTAGTATGAGATAATTATGATGATAGCACTGGTAGCATGCAGTATGTAGGCTTTATCCTACATTTATAGATGTGAAAGTCTTAACTTGGAATAATCCATCCATACATTTATATGATGCTTTAAAGATTTTTTAAGAATGCTTGTACCAAACTCATTTGTAAGACATTATTATCTTCATTGTAAACAGGCTTGGAGAAGTTAACAAAGATCATATAGCAGCACTGGATTTTTGGAGTCTTGGCCCACTGTGTTATTTGCTAAACTAATGCCATTTCTGGAATTTTCCAGTAAAGTCTGTCTCTTCACATTGTGGGAATTAGGCTGTTCTCATAGTGCTAGAGTATCCTCCACAGTTTTACCTACTAGCATTAATTTAATAGTACTGTACAAATATTACATTGTACTTACTAATTGTAAGGGTAAAATGTCCTCTTATAGTCACTAAACAAATGATCAATTTTGTTTTCATTATTCTTGGTTTGTTGATCTAGGGTCTCGCTATGTAGTTCAGGTTGTCCTCCAACTCACAGTGTAGCAGAGTAGCCTTGAATTCATACTGGTCCTCTTGCCTCAATTTCCCTGGTGCAGTGATTACAGTTGTGTCAACATGCCTGGTTGATTAATAGTAGAATAACCTGATAGTATGTACCTTCGGACATGACATATATATTACAAAGCAAATAATATCATTTGTAGTAATTTTTTCTTTACAGAATGTTTCATTTAAATCAAAACTCTAGATTCTGAGCCAGGAATGGTGGTGTATAACTGTAATACCAGCACTATGAGAGGCTGAGGCAGCAAGATCCTGAGTTCAAGCCCAGCTTTGGCAACTTAGTGACTTAGCAAGACCCTGTCTCTAAAAAAATTAAAAAGAGTTGGGTTGTAGCTCAGTGAAGAAGCCCTGGTTTCAGTCTCTAGTAGTATAATCAAACCAAATCAAACCAGAAGAAAAAAAAATCACTAGATTCTGGTATTTAGACTTAATTTAAAAATTTTGGGAAGTATAGGGAATAGAGGAACAAGTTAAATGAAACCATGGTGGAGGTGGTGAGGACCCAAATGATTAAAGTGCAACGCTTTTATAATTCCTACTTTAGGCTCTGAAAAAGCTCAGTGTTGTGGTGGTGGTAGGGTGAGGAAGCTCGGTCTTTCACTGGATTCTGGTCAACAAACAAAACCCCAGCCACTTACAAAACAAACCCCACACTTCAATTTTTTTTTTTTTTTTTGCTAGTATGTGTAATGTTCTCATGTGTGAGGATACTGTAGCCTTAGTGTTTTTAATTTTTTTTTAAAACTAATTTTTTTTTTTCTTGAGACAGGATCTTGTTATGTAGTTCAGGCTGGCGCTGAACTCACTATGGGCCCAGGCTGGTCTTGAACTGGTGACAAGCCTCTTGTCTCAGCTTGCTAAGCGCTGGGATTACAGGTGTGCACCACTACAACTAGCTGGATAGTGCCTTTATTCTGTGAACATATCAAAATATCCAATTATGAAATATTACGATGTAAAGTAATAGTTATGAAATGACTTGATGTCTACCACTTTAAACGATCCAACAACACAGTTCACTTCAAATAGGTTTAACAATACTGCGCACACACATTCCAATACAGATGAGGAGTGAGCGATCAGAACTGGTATGCAGTTAAGAACTGTTTAGTCGAAATGGAGAGTAAACTGTTCACCGTACTGTTCTTTCAACTTTTCCATAAGTACTGAAATCACCATCATAAAATATTGGAAGAGTCAACTTCCGAGTCTCCCGTAGAGGCTCAATTGAGTCTCAAGGCACCACACGCCGCTCTCCCAGGGTCTGTGTGAGCATGCGCAGAGGTCCTGCAGCGCGTCCCGCCCCTCGGGTGCACGCATGCGCGCAGGAGGCCGGCGCGCGGCCCCAACAGCCCGCGGGAAGCTAGCGGAGGAACTCGGTGCACTTCTGAGGTGCTGGACTTGCGAGACGATGGAGCCGCTGAAGGTGGAAAAGTTCACGACCGCCGACAGAGGAAACGGGCTGCGCGCCGTCGCCCCTCTGCGTCCCGGAGAGCTGCTCTTCCGTTCGGATCCCTTGGCGTACACGGTCAGCAAGGGTAGTCGTGGCGTCGTCTGTGACCACTGCCTGCTCGGGTAGGTCTGGGGCGTCCTGGGGCACTGAGTGCAAGCTGTGCGGGGTCCAGTTTGCGGACTTCGCTGGCAGGCGGCTCAGCGGCTCAGCGGCTCGGCCAGGCTGTGGAGAGCCGGGGCCCCGCGCTACGCGGGCGCCAGTGTTCGCGGGGCGGGTGGTGCCGAACCGGCCCCGCCCGGAACCCCACACCCCGGGCGGAGCGGGACTCAGGACCCAGTCTTCTCTCCCGGGTAGGGCTGCAGTAGGAACTGGGGAGCCATTGCTATAAACTTAAGGGGAAAAGCATTAGCCCTTGGGTAATTTTCTTGGGGAAAGCGCATCAGTGTGTGCCGTGCCGCCCGCTTCAGTGGTGCAGCTGTGGACATCGAGTTGCGGAGGCTGAGAGTGGCAAAGGTGGGCGTGGGTGAAAGACACTGGGTTGAGAATAAATCAGACTCAGGGCTAGTGCCTCATTAGGAAAGGGCAGGCTTGCAGGAGGCGAGAGAATTTTGCTGTTTACTGTGCACGTTTATGGTCCAAGTCTTGTGTGAATTGGGGATGTGGACATGAATGGGACATCGTAAGAGACTTTCAAGGAGCAGATCAAAGAGAGATAGTAGTGACCGTGTAACAGGAAAGTTGAACCACAGCTGTAGATACTGTGATGCCATAAAATAAGTTACTGAGGTTTCACAGTCTCCTTTGCCACTTAGTAGTTGTGCGAATAGATCTCGCTTTTTTTTTTTGCCTGGGTCAGTCGCAAATTTGGGTTCCTCCTATCTCAGTCTCCAAAGTTGTTGAGATTACACGTATGCAACATCACATCCAGTGCAAGTCTAACTTTTAACAAGCTGTCTGGTTTTGAAAATTCTTTCTTTTTTTTTTCTTTTCTTTTCAATACCGGGACGAACTCACTACCTTGAGCTTGCCCAGCAGGCGCAGTGCTGCTCAGCTGTATCCTTGGCTCGAGAATGCTTGCGACAGTGTTTTGGAAGCCTGGAAGCACGTTGCCTGTGTAAACTACTATATGAAATCAATTTATGGAAATGTTTACTATGTACATGTAGTCATAGGAATTGTGTACAGTTAACGAATATTGAGCTCCTATTGATGTGCAGGGGGAAAGGCTGGCCTCCCCTCCAGCTGGAGGCTTTCCACTGAACTACATGCCCAGTGCTTTTTATATTTTATTGTCAGACAGGCAGGGTGTCACTAAATCATTAGGCCTACGTGGGACTCGAATTTGGAATCCTCCTGGGTTGTCCAGCTAAGTGTGGAGGTCACAGGGCTACCTTTCTGTTTTGAGATGAATGTGATGGTTTTGTGTGTGACTCCTCTTAACAAACCGTGGTCTGAGATTGAGTGAGTGAAGGTGGAATGTACTCTGTAGCTTGACCACTAATGTCACTACATCTTTACTTAGTTCATAATTTATGAATTCATTTCATATACATTTTAGTTTCTAAGTATTCTGTCTTGTTTTCTGAAGTAATGGTAACAGTAATACACGCACACAAACACTCACAAATCTTTTGAATGAATATTTCAAATTTTATGTGTGGTTTAATATCATTTTATTTCTTTTTTTTTTGTCTTTTTTCTGGTACCGGGGATCGAACTCACGACCGCCTTCTTGCAAGGCAGGTGCTTATGCCACTGAGCTAAATCCCCAGCCCCCATTTTATTTCTTTCAAGATCTGACTTTTAGCTGGGTGTAGTGTCACACATCAGTGATCTCAGCACTCTGGGAGACTGAGGCAGGCAGATCGTGAGTCAAGCCTAGCCTGAACAAAATGTGAACGCTTTAGGTTCAGTCCCTACTATCAAGTGGTTGGGGGAGGGTAGACTTTACTTTTTGTCTAAGGTTCCAGCATTTAAGTTTCTTTTTTTTCTTTTAGTACTGTGGATTGAACCCAAGACCTTGTTCATTCTAAGCAAGGTCCCTAGTGCTGAGCTACATCCCTAACCCGCTTTCTAAAAATTGTATTTTGAGACAGGGCCTCACTAAATTGCCTAGGTTGGCCTTGAATTTGAGATCCTTCTACCTTAGCCTCTAAGTAGCTGGGATGACACATGCTTGTCACAATGCTCAGTTTTAGGCATATCTCTTGATTCTCATTCAAGCAAATTGGAGAAAGTAGGTCTCTTTCTTTTGTTGCCCTTTTTGAAGTGTATCCAGAGTTTGAATGTAGCAAAAGTAGAATTTACTGTTTTTTAAGTCCTGTAACATTAGTTGATGGTAAGATAATATTAAAGATAAAATTAGATTATTGTATAATATGGTACATGGAACAGAAAAGTTTTAGAATGCATAAAAAGTGACAAATTTCTGGTAATAACTTAATTATCAGATCTGAACTTAAGTTGTATAATATCCTGAGTGGTCTGTTTTCCAAAATATTGTACACAAACCCTTTGTAGGCCGGAATACCTCTTGCCTTACTATATTATTGCTCTCTACTATTTTTTTTTTTGCAAGAACTGTGATTTAAGCACACCAGAGAGCTAGAAATATAGCTCAGTCTCACAACATCTGCCTGGCAAGCATGAGGTCATGAGTTTGAGAGCTTGTACAAAAAAAAAAAAAAAATAAATAAAAAGCATACAAGGATTGCTGGATGTGGTGGCGCATTCCAGGCTGGGGATGGGGTTTGGGGAGTACTGTGGCTTGGATAATGGATTCTGCAGTGTGTACCGCTAGTAGCATGGACACTGGACCCTGTTGCTTCCTGGGGAAATAATTGTTACTGGAGAGTTGTTCTCTTTACCATTCTTTGTGGTATTATCTTCCGATTTTTCAGTGGTTGTTTTGGATTGGTTGAGTTTAGGCCATTGTCTGTTAGCCAGCTGCAAGGGAAGCTGAAAAGGTGAATATTTGGCTTTTTTGACTTTAAGAGACAAGGCTCTGCTGACCATAGATATTCATACAGTAGGGAAATCAAAAATATAAATGCAGAAAAGGGGATGTAAGTAAATTTCCAAGAATCCAAACAAGACAATTAAATGGATTGCTCATACTGACAAATACTTGTCTATTAATTCTTTACACAAAACATTTGTGCCTATTTTGGTTGGTTAGAGCATATGTAGTTTGCTTCTGTTGTAGTAGGTGCTTTGTTGAACATCCTGGCTTAGGTAGTGGTAGTGTTGTGGATTACCTACTTGGAAATCACTGTAGTCTCAAAACATTGTGAGGAAACTGGGAATTTAACTCAGTGGCATAAATGCTTGCCTAACAAACATAAGGTTGTGAGTTTGATCCCTGGTACAAAAAAAAAAAAAAAAAAAAAGTTGTTAGGGAACATTGGTACATTATTTCATGAGGTTTTTTCACCACTGTGAAATGCTAAGTAGCCAGACCCTTTCTCAAAAAATTTTTTCCCCTTTATTTTATTTTGACCCCCATTGTTATAAAGTACATAACATTTTAATTTCATTAGTTAATTCAAATAGAAGACAGAAAACTTTGTACAGAAAAATTCTTCCAGACATTAATACAACAATATAAGCATATTATTTACTAGGAGTTAGGGCTACAAAAATTGAAGACATAGTATATTATAAAGAATTTCACAGACACTGCAAAGAAAAATAAAACTTTCTTTTCCTTTATTTTCTTTCTTGCTATGTAGTCTAGGCTGGCCTTGAATTCAATACATAGCCCAGGGTAGCTTTGAACTTACCACAGTTCTGCCTCAGCCTCCCAAGTGCTGGATTACAAGTGTGTACCATCACATCCAGCTAGAAGTATTTACTTACTTCATTAGTCTCTAGAAGTGATTTTCTAAGGTTTTACCTGCTTTCTTTTGCCCTAAACCTACTTTGATTAGTGCTTTAGTTCTGCATATTTATTTTCATTAATGAAGAAACTTGAACCTGATTCTTGCTTTTTCTTGCTCTTTTCATTAAGGCATAGTTTCTGATTTTTCATGTTGTGAGTAGAAAAGAAAATGAAGTATGTAAGAGAAAGAGTAATGACAGTTAAATTGTAGAGTCACTTGTATTGTCCATCTGCTGTGGTACACATTTTTAGTTTGGTGAACATATCATTGACAAATGGGTTATGTGTATTTCTCTTCTGTTTGTTTTGGTAAGTGTAGCACATAAAATTTCACTGTAATTTTCTGTATTTGTGGTCTTCTTACTCCTAGAGGCAGTTCCCTAAATCTAATCTTTGTGTTTCTAGCATATGCAATGTATAGCAGATACTAATTGGTCGAATTTGTGAAAGGGTGAAATTTGGGGGGAATTTTGAGTCACTATAAAGTATGTTTGCCTTTGATTTTCCAAAGTTCCAAGTTGCCTGCTGTTTCCAAATGAAGAGTTTACTTCCGGTAAGCTCTAATGTTAGTTTCTCCTGTAGAGTGCAATGTTATCATTTAGCATTAAGGCTGAAGTTAAGGCCTAGTGCCTCCTAGGAGGAAAGAAGATGACTTGGAAGTGGTAACTCCATCCTCTTCAGACCTAGTAGGTGATGGGAAAAAGTGGGGACAGAGTCAGGGAAAAGAGATTTTGAGAATTATATGTTCTGAATTTGCTTGTCTGGCCAAAGTTCTAGGATTTTAAGGGGTGTTAAAGGCCACAAAGAGACAGTTAACAACACAGGGCTTTTGGCTCTGCTCATTTTTTGGAATCTTGAGAGGAAGCAGCTTGCTGTGCTGCTATTTTTGTTTCATCTTTTGAGAAAGGGTCTCCCTATGCAGTGCAGGCTGGACTTGGGCTCACTTTGTAGACCAGGCTGGTCTCGAACTTGCAAGGATCCTCTTGCCTCAGCCTCCTGAGTGCTGGGATTACAGGTGTGAGCCACCACACCCAGCTCCCTGTGCATTTTAATGCTGTGCTAGCATTGGAGACAGCACAGCAGTGGCAGAAGAAAGTGGCTTTATAGAGAGCCTGTTATAATACTCCATTGAAATTCTGTCATAGTACTGTAAGGGAGGTGGAGGAACTTAGAGGGCTGGTGGAACAGCAAGCATCATGACAAAGGACCGTGTGAATGCAGATTCAGAGTCACAACCTGGAT